AAAAAAAAAAACCATACTATTGACCATCAATGACGACTCCAGACACATAACCGTGGCCGGCGACGAGAGAGGCAGAGGCCAGGAGGCCAGTAAGCGACATGATCTTGGACATAGCCATTGTGATGGTATAATTGGAATGGAACTAAAGGATATCAAATCCGTGGCCAGTGATTGAAAGACCTGCTCGATCAAAGGCGGGAAGAAGGAATGAAAGAGAATGTGTCTGAAGACGAAACGAATAGACAGTTACTGACATTCCAACTGCCTTTTTATAATGCTCTTCATGCATACTAGGTCCAGCCAAACTCCTATTTCCCTGTACCCTAGTAGGCAGGGGGATGTCTCCACCCTGGTGATTGTGGGCTACCTGCGACACCCGGATCAGTGGCTGATATTATCCGGAATTAGTTCGGTGGCAGGTAGATGTGCGTCGGTCCTCACATATGCCCATACAAAGACCAATAGGATATCATGGCCTCACTGCTAATTAAACTGAGCGTCAGTCATTCTGCACCATGCACCGCTGCATAATTCGACGCTCAAGCATCTTCTTGCGGACTATGCTGGATACCGGAGGCATTGCCGTGATAGTCCATCTCCCAATTCTGCCAAAATTGAACAAGGTCCGCCATGAAGATCCACAAATGACCTTCAAGTACTACTGAAGAGGTACCGGCCCTGCCATGTGACCCAAGACCTGTTGTGTTTCCACCCAATAGGCTGCCTCAAGACTGTATGCCTGCTGGGCAGTTAATGCCGGAGTTGATCGTCCCTCGGGTTGACGGACCGATGGCTATAATGTTGTGGATTCAGGTACGCGAGACGCCAGGGCCTCGAAGATCCAAGAAAGGTATTGTGCTATGGACTGAGTCTTCAGCCCAGCAAGAGGAGAGGGGTCCTCCGTGATCCATATAGCATATAGATCATCTACAAGAAACTTGCCGTGACTTGAATGGAAATGATTAGCGCTCAGAGATCAGCCCTAACTCCTGATTCGAGGAGACTTCTACATCATGTTTCTGCCTCTAAATTGCCGGCATGGCAGTTAGACTTGGCATATAAGCCTGTCTGGACAGTCCTAGCACATGATAGATCCCGATGGAATTTCTCTGGCATTTGGGATTGGGTCAAGGGTGGGTGTCCATTTGAAGGCGGGATGACGATCATTGAAGTCTGTGACAGGAAGGGTGGGAGGAAAGTCGACAAGTGTTTCACTAAAGGCCCGCCAAGAGCCCTAAACCTCAATATAGCCGGTCTTCCCCATGCATGGATCATACTATTTCAACGTCCAATTTATCCACACTTGGTTATGTGGTAATTTCCAAAAGGAATCGTAGTCCAGGGTTTATCCTGATTTCCATATATAAATCCCAAGAGAAGACTAAATCTCAGATTGTGCTGCATGTCTCAAAACTAGCGAGTGATCGAGACATCGGGCAGTTTCAGAAAGCCTTACAAATATCAATCCCACAGCGCATCTACATTCTTCTACCCAAAGGTTCTCCCCATGGTGATATGACAACAGCCATCAAGGCGAGGAGCGCAATCAATGTAGCGAAGACCATAGTAACATTGGAAGTTGGACAAGGTGCACGGCATTTCAACTGTTTTTCTCTTCATTAGATAGTAGAACCAGGGAGCTCCGACCAAGCATCCTCTGGAAGTTGATTTAGATATGTAGGTCGTCTGGCCGGTGAAAAGTGCCGTTCCTGACTTATGATCACAGCATCCGACAGACGCGGGGACTTCAATCCTCCTGTATATCAAACAGGCCAGACCGATTCATCCCAGTGCCGGCCCACACAAGCATCCATGCCAATGCCAAATCCCATTCGACAGTCGACTTATGCTTCGGCAACCGTCCTCCGAGTCCACCTCTCCCTACTTCAAATCATTGAAGGTATTTACAGAGCCTTCTTCTTCTCACCCTTGGAGACATCGACGACCTTGAGGGCTGTTGTAGTAATATCGTCAGCATCAAGTCCTACGTAGTTGTGGCCGCGTAGTCATGTTTCGTTTCATGTCCCGGAACCTCCATTTTAGGCATGCAAACCGGCGGAGCGAGCAAGATTGAAATCCGAATAACGACCGAGTGTTTTCAAATGGGCCTGGAAGGCAACGCACCTGGGGGCAAGCTCTGCTTGAGCTTGTCGGCCTTGTCGGAGTCCTTCAGGGCAAGGGTGTAGACGAAGCGCTGGCAGCGGACCTTGAACTTGACCTGCTGGGTCTTACGGTTGCGCTTGATGCGGGCAGCTAATCGTACACATCATCCGTTAGCACCATCGATCCAAGCATAACACTCATAACCTATCCATCACCGGCCGGAGCTCATCGGAGGGCCCCAGGCCCAACCCAAAACAACCGAGCGTCTAAACGGGGCGTGGAGAACGTACAGGAGGCATCCTTGCGGCGGCAGATCTCAATGAACTGCTTGATGTCGGAGATTTCACGAGGCATGGTGGGCGGTGATTGGGGACGTAAGTCGGGATGGTCGAGCAAAAAGTCGGGACGAGTGAAGGACAATCGCGATCTCGAAGTCTCGACTTGCGGGCGTCCGGACGGTGAGGCGCTAACGTTGTGTGGGAGTCGTTAGGGTTGCCTCCCCGGAAGCCCTGATTTACATGCGCCACCGTTCTGTGGCGTGTCACTTCCTACATCGGGTTAATCCACTAGTGTGGCGGTGCAAGCTAGGCGGCAACTATACTGTATGCAGACAGGTAGTATAAGTAGTAACTGGTACGTACTTAAGCAGCACCACGTCACGAGCTTGATCAAACTGACAATCTGTCATTTTCTCATCTATACCAATCACTATTTTGATTGTATTCGTATATCGACATAATATATAAGCCAAAATGCCGACTGCGCTAGATCGAGCAATGCACTCAAAGGTTCGTACAGTAGATAACCCCAGATGGTGGTCTCAAAACAGCTGACAGGCATCTAGAATCTTTTTCTAGGTATACATCGCTAGTGACAAAGCAATAAATAACAACCGCTAACGTCGACTCATTCAGGGTTTGCTGGCATGGTCACTGCTGCAGCGGCCTGGGCCATATGGGGTAGCGACATATTCCCTGCAGAATCAGACCCAACTGGAGGTAAGCATCAGATATCGTTGATGACGTTTTAGAGGCTGACTTTGTGAAAAAAGACCCTGAAACTTGGACTGCTGAAGAGATGAAAAGGTGGCTCCGTAACGTATGTGTTTTCTTCAATTTGTGAAAATTCAAAAACCATCACATTTCAGCCTTGTGTGTGCATCCTAAATTGACTCCGACGGCGACTCTTAGAGGGGGCTTATGCCAAATAACGACGCCACACGTGAAGAGCTTCTGGAACGAGTCATAGCAAACCTTCGTATACCGCGCAGGTCCAGAACATGATTATACTGTTGTGATATGTTGTGCATTCCAGAGTTCACGTTCCATCTGTGCACATCATCAGGTGCTTTGAGTGTTTCTCTTGAGTTTTTGTTTGTGTTGCGCATTGAATTGTTCTGTCGCTTTGTACTCATACCCCAATAATAATACCCCCCATTGTATCCTTGAGAGGCCTGATGATTGATACACAGCCCCTAAAGATGTACTCCTCTTTTTGAATAGGAATTTTTTTTTTTTTTTTTTTTCAAACAACGAGCCGGAACGTCTGAGATTCAATAAGCCATTCTCGCTTGCGTTTGCCCTTGGGGCCATCGGCGGAAGGGTTTGGCACTAGCACGAAAGTTTCGCTGAACCCGCGCTGCGGAAGATCGCGAGACTCTCCAAATCGCACGTAACCGCTGACCAGCACCAAAATGGATTTGTCCTTGAGAGTGGTTTCGTTCGGAGCTTTAAGCCCAGTTGCTGTCGGCGTGGGATATGCTTGGTTGATGATTTGGCAATCGAACGACTGCACCTCGTAATGCGCCGGCGGCATCTGATTGACAAATATTTCTTGAACTGCTTTGCCATCGGCGACAACATTACCGTTGAATAGGATCATGGAGATCGTTTGGTTGTAAAACGTTGATATCGTACCACGGTTGGACTGAAGGGCGGGATAGAATGACTGGACAAATTCCGTGGCCGCTGTAGGTAGTATACAGATTAACGAAGTGGGCCAGAAAGAAAGCAGTATTATGCAGGGGAGATATACCATCCGTAGACACTTTAGTGAGCGCATCTTCACTTGCGGGGGCCATCGCGAAAGAATCAAGTACCACGTGTAGTAACTGCTGACACCTGCGCAATCCAAGTCGATAAGAGAATAGACAGTCTGTAGGAGAATAGATAGACACAATAATATATGGAGTAGATGGTTATATCTAGAAGAATATGAATATAGTCAGAAATAAAGATAGGTGGTGGTGGTGGTGGTGGAGAAGAAGAAAGAGGCACAAAGCGGCAGAAAAAAAGGTACGGGAGCTTAGGCCACCCGGAGATTAGCCTCTCCAACTCCGATAAATCACCCATCAAAAAGTAGTCTAGAATTTGGAGTCATCCTCCTCACTCCGCATCCAGCTAGCAATGGCTCTTCCCAGAGCACGCTTCCGTGCCCTTTCATGGGCCAACCAATTCCTGACATATAAAAGTCCAACTTGGCAGTGTACTACCTGCAGAACCCTTCGGCCGACGCCAATTGTCGCTCCGCGTAGATTCGCGACAGCGCCTTCCGGAAAGCACAAGAAACCCTACTATGTGACGACACCTATTTTCTATGTTAATGCCGGTGAGTCTATCTAACGTGAATTATAAAGCGCTATTATTTGGCTAATTACATATTCCCTCAGCCCCTCATGTCGGTCACCTCTACACAATGATCATTGCCGACATCCTGAAGCGATGGCGAACACTTTGCGGAGACACAGACGCTCAATTATTGACCGGTACCGATGAACATGGCATGAAGGTAGAAGGGATATTCTTAATCGAAAGTCTTTCATGGTGTTGACTGTATGGTACAGATCCAGCAAGCCGCCCTAGCCGCGGAAATGGATACTCAGGCCTTTTGCGATATGAACTACAAAACCTTCGAGGTCGGTCCTGTTTTCACAGCTCAGGGCTTCCGTTATGTTAGGTATTGACATTTTGGATAGGATCTAGCCAAGGCGGCAAATATGGACTACGATTACTTTATCCGGACGACCGAGGAGGCGCACAAGAAGACTGTACAGTATTTCTGGGTAAGTGATAGACGGGCCTTCGAAGCGATCCATAGTAGAACTAAACAATCATAGGAAATGCTGAATCACAGAGGCTATATTTACACCTCTAAGCACGAAGGTTGGTATTCTGTTAGCGATGAAACATTCTATCCTCCGTCGCAGGTACATAACTCGCTGGATCCTACCACTGGAAGAAAGAGAATGGTATTAGCCTACAGGACTGTTACATTTGCAATGAATAACGAGCTGATCTAACAATACAGGTTTCCGCTGAGACAGGGAAAGAAGTAGAATGGTCCTCTGAGACAAACTATCACTTCCGCCTGTCTGCTTTTCAGGAGCGCCTGCTGGACCTATACAAGACAGGCTTCATTACACCATCCAATTACACGACAGAAATCGTCAAATCGGTGTCTTCGGGGCTCCAAGATTTGTCGATTTCCAGACCCGTTGAGCGGTTAACTTGGGGTATTCCTGTCCCTGGCGATGAGACACAGACCATCTATGTATGGTTGGACGCACTTGTCAATTATCTGACCAAGGCGGGATACCCTTTCCCCCCCGGACAAGAAGGGGGCCTTGGGTGGCCCGCAGATGTACATGTTGTCGGCAAGGATATCGTTCGGTAGGTATTGTTCTCCGTAGAGCACTGCGAGCACGACACTGATGAGCGCACAGCTTCCACTGTGTATACTGGCCAGCGTTCCTCATGGCACTTGACCTCCCCCTTCCTCGTAATGTCCTTGTTCATGGGCACTGGACGATCAACCATGAGAAGATGTCGAAATCCACAGGCAATGTGGTGAACCCTTTCTTTTCTTTGGACCGTTTCGGTGTTGACACAATGCGCTTCTTCCTTGCCTACCAAGGAGGCTTGGCGGGAGACGCTGACTATGACAACTCCTACATCATCCGTGACTACAAGAAGCTACTCCAATCGGGTATCGGAAATCTAGTGCTCCGAACCATCGGCTCTTCGAAAGGCAAACTCCATTCTTACATTGTCAGCGGGACATCGGGCGAGCTTCCGGCCGCAAATGAGCAAGATTTGCAGTTCGAACAATTGCTGAGGGAAACCCCTGTTAAAGTGGGTGAACATATGGAGAGCCTTAACCCTCGTGCCGCTTTGCAAAACATCATAGTGTTAATCGAGCAGGTAAGATAAGCCACTATTTTTAGTTACGACATATTCGTGTTGACGCTCCTTTTCAGGGCAACAAGTACATCCATCTATCGGAGCCGTGGAAGGATGCTATCAAAGCTCAACGAGTGTTGTTCAATGTCGCCGAATCCCTCCGGATCGCCGGCATTCTCCTACAGCCCTTTATGCCCACAAAGTCTGAGGAGCTTCTAGATGTTCTCCGCGTCGATCCCTCCAAACGGGCATTTTCGGCTGCAGTATTTGGGTCCGATGCAGAATATGGAGAAGGCATTAAGAAGACCGTCTTGTTTCCCCCTCTTATCGTGGAGCAATAAGTGTCACAAGGACATACGGTTTGATAACAAGAAAACCCACGGAAGCCAATCAAAAAAGTAGATTACAACACCATTTTGCGATCTAATTGGCACATTTCTCCACTGACGCAAGGGTCAGGGAAACGTCGCGAAGCTTTTCCCGATTGCGCTCGATAAAGCTGGCGTGCAAGGTTTCTGTTTCCTCACGCTCGACCCCATGGGCAGGGTTTATGTTATGTCATGGCCAATCGATGGTTTTGCTCGATTCCACAAGGTTATCAGCGGAAAAGGCCCAGATCCACGACGTTGGGAGCGATAGATATCGGGGCGGAAAACTCGGGCCTTTCCCGCGGCAAACCCCCTAAGGTGGTATCGGAAAGACATCCGCTTGTATATCAGAGATACTATGGTGTTCGATACGGTGTATAATAATATAATGGAAGGGTTGGTATTCTGTTGTGCTTGCTTATCTCTCATTCCTTGTTTGATTCCCCTATTGCTACCACATTGTTCCGTGGTACATCCAGGTTATACTCCTTGTATACTTCTTTAACTCCCTACTCTGTGACAATTATATACAATCAACTTATCTTCCATATCTTTCAGGACATCCTGATCACGTATTCTCAACCTACACTAGCCTAAATCCCGAGTACCAGTCCTCTATCATGGGTAGCATCGCCTTGGAGGAAGCCCAGCCCTCCTTCAAGACACCATGGGTGCAAACCCCCTTGGTGGAATCCGCCTCCCTTTCTCGTGCCGCAGGATGTAGGATATTCCTGAAACTGGAGAACGTTCAGCCCAGCGGTTCATTCAAGTCCCGGGCCATGGGCAACCAGATCCTGTCACACCTCATCAAGCCAGAGAACGCCAACCGACCCGTCCACTTCTATGCCTCCTCGGGCGGCAATGCTGGCCTAGCTGCTGTCTGCGCAGCCCGCAGCCTAGGATACCCCTGCACAGTGGTTGTACCACTATCGACAAAGCCCCTGATGGTACAAAAGCTACGGATGGCAGGTGCTGCGGACGTAATCCAGCATGGAGATACGTTCCTAGCAGCCGGCGAGTACATGCGAGAAGTGATCATGAAGAACAAGGACGATAACGAGAGTGAAGACGTGGCGAAGATTGCTCTACACCCGTTTGATAACGAGCCCATCTGGGAAGGAAACAGCACCCTCATTGACGAACTAGCCACCCAGCTCCCTCCCCCAGCCGGTGAAGACGAAGAAGCCACCCACCGTGGCCGCCCATTACCCGTGGACGCCATCATCTGCAGCGTAGGCGGCGGTGGCCTCCTGAACGGCTTGGTCATGGGCATCGAACGACACCGTCAGCTCCAGAAGATGAGCCTCAGCTATGCCTCCAACCCTATCTCCCACTCCCAGCCGAACCCTATCAACCTCCTCGCCATCGAAACCCTAGGTACCGATTCCCTTGCTGCCGCTGTCGCGAAGAAATCCCTCGTCTCCCTCCCCAAGATCACTTCCCAGGCTACTTCCCTGGGCGCTATCCGTGTCTCCGAACGTACTTTCCAATACGCTATCTCCCCGCCGCAGGGTATTGCTGTACACAGTGCTGTGCTTTCGGATGCTGATGCAGCAAGGGGTGTGCTGCGTCTTGCTGATGATCACCGGACGCTTGTTGAACTTGCATGTGGTGTATGCGTTGAGGCTGCAGTTGGTGACGCGGCGAGGGCTCGGTCATCGACATCCTCCGACGCCCTCACATCTGGAACCAAGAAGCGGAAGAGAGAGGATGCGGACTACCCTTCCCACCGCGATGAGGGCTACGGGGATGATGGGTCCTCAGCGACCGAGACGGAGTCAGAAGCAGGCAGTGAAATCCAATCTAAGCTCAAGCAGCTTGTGCCTGACCTGAACTCCGAAAGTCGAGTGGTGATCATTGTGTGTGGTGGAAGTAATATTACAATCGATATGGCGGCGGAGTATAAAAAGTTGCTTAATGAGGGTTGGGGAAACTAATCGCTTCTGAATTTATGCTTATGGCCGGCCATTGCGTTTTATTTTATTTTATTTTTTTTTTTTTTGGATCATGTTAACGTTCTCTGTCATGATGGTGTCTAGATTGGCGTTTAGAATTATTATGATTTTTAATGGGTTAGCGTTTAAAAATAACATACACTTCTTGAGCATGCACCTTATCCCAATATACGGATTTTTTATTATTGAAGAAGTAAAGGTAAGAAAGGGAATGGAATAATAAAAAGTTGATGTTATTTACACGGGCACCTCATGCCGAAGTGGGAATCTCTTGGCTCCACGTTGCAGGCGCAATCATACGAATCCGATAATCCCAGTAATTCTTCCGGATAGGATCGTACTTTTCCTTCAGCAAGGTAAACATCCGTACTGCCTCGGCGGTGGTTTGTTCGCCTTCTTCTCCGTATGTATCAGCCAACCATTCTATAGCATGACTGCTCTTGACCTCAACATCCACCACCTTGCCGTCCTCGACCTTTTCCTGGACAAACTTCTTCGCAAAATCCTTCCACTCCGACAGCGGCCGGCCGGACGCCCGAAGCACGCCACGGGCATATCCCCACGGACTGCGATTTTCAGGGGCTTTAATAACCTTGGCCTTGGCGTACTCCAGTTCAGCATCAACAAGGTCCTCGTCAACCACGGCTAGCCTGCCTTTCTCAGGCGGGGGAGCAGTGCTATTCGGCATACCGCCGTCTGGCTCATCACTGCGTGGACCAAAACGGAGCATGAAACGATGATTCCAGGCGGAGTTATTCCTCACGTCTTGCGACAGGAGTAAATCAACGTCCTGGATCTCTCGGGGCTCGTCCCACAGTCTGAAGTGCCGCACGAGCCAGTGGCGGTAGGTCCAGACATGGTAGTTTTTGGCATCTTGCTTGAACATCTCCATGAGGAAATCCAGCTCCTTGGGTGGGAGTGTCGGGAAGTTTTCCCTGGATGACATGAGGACCTGTCGATGGTGCCTATGGGTAAATGGTTAGACCATCTTTGCTTCCCGATGATTTCTGCTGGGTTAATGCATACCATATTTGGTAGTTCTTAAGGTACTTCAAAGACATTTTATTCAGCCATTCAAATTCTTCAGTGAGGTCCTTTTTTAGCGCAAAAAGGTTCTTAACACGGTAAATCCTAAACGTTCGTCGTCAGTGATCGGCATATATATGGAAGTACGGCAGGGAAACGTCTGCACTTACCAAACAGTATAATGGGCCGGGTTCATAGCGATTACATCGTCGGTGAGTTTCAGTGCTCTGTCGGACATTTCATTGGCAGCCATCACTGCTCTTAAGTACGAGGTAGCCTCGAGATATTCATCTGAATAGGCAATAGTGGCCAGTGGAAGGGTCCCTGTTTCCGAGCCATCATTGAGTGGGATGGGCTCAATAGAGGCCCATGTTGGGTCTGAGGCATATTTGCCAGACATTTCTGTGAAAGGGGTGCTTTTTCTCTGGTAGGGTGAAGAGCTCAGGAAGCGTGAAACTATCCAATGAATGTTACTGGAGAAAGATTCAAGAAAGATATATCGAGACAACCCGACCACACAGCATAGATCCACGTTTCACTTCTCTTCAGTGACAGATTGTGCAGATAGCAGGATTCCAATAATATTTATGGCAATTTTCTTAGCTGACTTGAGGATTGTAGTGAGCCTGGAGAATGGACTTTAGAATGGGAAATCAATGAATGAATGAATGAATGGATTGAGCTATGGTGGGGCTGTTCCGGCCTCAGGCATCCATAAGAACAATAGGGAGATGACAATAGTTCAATTCTACTCAATGGCCAGCCATGATGATGATGATGCCTACTATTCCAACCCATTCCATAAGTCCACGGGTATTGTCCATACAACTACTCACCTCAAGTCCAGCAATGAGATCTTTTCAGAGCCTCTTTGCCTGAGGTATCCACGTGAACACACATGACTTCCCAGATTGAGTCTCCAAATTCCCCAAACGAGGCAAAGTACCCGGATAGGTTCCTATTGGTTCCACCGCATGGAAACTGATAAGAAGTCAAATTTCCCCGCACAAGAGGATTATTTCTCCCCCCGGGAAACAATCATCGCTAACTCGACATCATGATGTCGCTCTTCTCATCGGCACTATCCGGAACCTGCTGTGAAAGAATCGGGTGATAATGCGACGTGTCAAGAAATCCCGCAACGGCTGTGCGAGGTGTAAAAGCAAACGGGTACGGTCTCAAAATCTCCTCCGCATCCGCTGATCTCGATATGTGATACATCCATGGAACAGTGGAGGTTAACAGGACATCCAAAGAAGAGATGGAGATGTTAACTCAGTTCTTCCCAATAGGTCAAATGTGGGGAAGAGAAGCCTTACTGCAGTCGATGCACCCGCTTGGGCGTGAAATGCCCCGGTTACGCTCAGTCTCTGCGCTGGGTGACCAAGTATCCATCCGGTACTGAGGAATACGATAGCAATGCTCAACTGAATAGGTCACCGCTGGGGTCCGGCCATTCTCCAGCTCCAGGGCCCTCGACCGCCTCCCCCCGACCATCGCAGTTCCCCGATACATTAGCTGAGTCTCCATTGATCAAAGGGGATGCGAACCAGACAACCACCCATGAAGACCCGGGACCAAAGGGATTGGGATTAGATGGAAGCAATACATTAAATGACAGTTTGTGGGGTCTTCCAGAACCAGGCTCCCTCCCAGAGTTAGCAGATCTGGGTCCGTCACCGTCTTCAGCATCGGCCTCTGCGGTTGGACACGAGCGAGCGAGCTCGATATTTGATCTTGATACCCCAAATGACCCTGGAAATCCATTGAACTTGTTTTCTTCGAGAGCGCCTGAATCCCAGCATGAGTTGCCCAATTTTCTCGGCTTCTCTCCATCGGCTATCGTACGGAAATATCCTCCATCAAACTCACAGCCACCCCAGCGCGACCTTACGTCAATTCCACAGCCGTTGAATAACCCGTCCTGGACCCTCATTGAGTACTATTTTAAAGAGGTAGCAGCTTTATTCTCAAGCTATGACAGTCAAATGAACCCTTTTCGGTCGACTGTGTCCCGCCTTTGGGGCTCCTCGTTGGCCATGTGTAAGACCATGCAGAGTATGGCAGCGGCTACGCTAGTGAATGATTTCCCGCAATTTGGCCCGTTGGGACGTAAGCTACGTAATGAGGCTGTCGATATCATTGCAAAAGAGACTGTCTTGGATGATAAGTCATTGTTGGCGTTACTCATGCTTGGCCAAACAGCTAGCTGGCATGATTCCAAAGATTTAGGAATTTCGTTCTTTAATCTACTTCGGAATCACCTTGAGACCAAGCCCTTGGAGATTGCCAACCCAGAGCGTGGCAATAATCATCAGTTCTTTCAGGAGGCTCTGGTATACTGGGAAATGCTCCTGTCGTTTGTTGCCGATGACACCGCAGTCCTATCAGGCAATGCAGCTGCAGACCCAGGCGGGCCGCTGGTCTTGCAGCGGATACCGCATCCATGGACCGGAATCGCCCGCGATACCCAATTCACTGTTCAGGAAGTAGGAAGACTCGTACGTTGCGAGAGAAAGCGCATTCGTGCCAGAGTATTTACCTCACGTGCCGATATAACCCAAGCCCAGAAGGCCATTGAGAAAGCACGAGAGCTAGAAGAACGACTCCTCGAACTGGCACATCCGGCTGAAGCTGAAATAGTTAGCCCTGGCGATGACGAGACCCCAGTGTGGCACCTATTAACCATGGCGGAAGTGTACCGCTGTACAGGCCTCATGCAACTGTATCGCGTCTTTCCGGACCTTCTTTACTGTCGACTAGGCTCACAGCACCCGTCTTCCCACTCCTACACTCAACAGCCAAGTACAACCCCTCGCGATCCATTCCTATCCGTAGACACGGCCCCAGACCTGATCAACTCCGCCTGGTTCGAGTCTATGTATCTACAACCCGAAAGCAACCAACCAAACGACTCACAAACTCTCCCAGACGCCTACTACGACAGCTGGCTAACAGAGTTTGCTCTGACCACTCTCTCCCGTCTAAAGACAATCCCCATTGAATCACGCACCCGGTGTCTCCAACCGTTCTTGCTCGTCGCCTCTAGCAGCGAGCTCCGTCTACCTCGTTCGGAAGTTTCACTCGATAGCAGCGGTCCGAGTATCTCCTCACATGCCATCGAAGTATCTCGTACGCGCCAGTTCGTCCTCGGACGACTCACTTCGTTTCTGCATGTTCTCCCCCCGAAACCTGTCGATGTCTGCTTGCAGCTCGTCAGGGAAGTCTGGAAACGAATAGACGCAGGGGAATCAAATGTGTACTGGATGGATGTGATGATCGAGAAAGGCTGGGAGACGACCATGGGCTAATGGCTGGGATGTACCTGGGACTGCGATAGATTGGATACATGATACCCTACTTTGTAATTAAGCGTGTATAGTTACGATAACAAATTGGATAATATCATATATGTTATACGCTCTCGTGTAGAAATGTTCCAGTCATTCAACTGATGCTTTATTATTCATTCAATGCTTATCGCCAACAACACCCACAGAATGGATTAAGTCACATCAGTCGTCACATGAACCTCACCCAGGTTCGATCCCAAAGAACATAGCTGAAAAGGAAAAAATAAAAGTGAGTTATATAGAGGACTCGATACGAAGTTGGGGGGGGAGGAGAACAATGCAAAGGTATCGAGAGGTGGCAGCCGAAACAAAAACACATGAGTAAAGATTATACAGAGAATCGAATATAGCGAATAGTAATGGTACCTGAGAAACATGCGAAATGGGGGATTAAATGCATATCATGTCAAGTCCAATTCCTGTCAGAAAAGAAATGCTGAATTAAAAGAGAGATAAGGAGAGAAGGAAGAATGACTGGGTCCGATTGAACGCAGTTGGCGTAAATTGAATGTAAGGATGGAAAGCCTTCAACGTGGGTTGATGGAAGGCGTCACATTAATGCATTGCTCGTTTCCAAAACTTCCAGCCCTCTCTCTTTTCCTGTGTGCCCACACCGACAAGTCGCTCGATGCCTTCAGGGCCATCTGCATTTTCGAACTTCTGCTGGTCAATCTCCTCACCACCTTCTTCGTCGGTTCCATTGCGGACCACGGCGGGCCAAAGAACACCGACACCATCTCCTCCCAGAGTGGTTTCGTATTTCGCGAATCCTTCTTTGTCCAGATTTTCCTCCAGTTGGCGTATAGCATTTGGGTCGGCATCTGGGCGTAGGAGGGTAATCGCACATCCTCCTCCACCAGCACCGGTGAGTTTCGTCCAACCAATGTTCGCAAAATCTACAAGCTCACGAATCCGCTCGAGTCGAGGGTGAGAGACTCCTAGCGAGACCAACAAGCCATGGTTGATGCGGATGAGCGCTCCAATGCGCTCGAGCGTATCCTTGGAAATGCCTGACGAATCTGTTTCCCGAATGAGCTCCTGTGCGGAAGCGTTCACCTTCTCGATGGTATCGAGGATCGCCTCTGTCACTAGCGGTTGTTCTTCTTTCAGCTGGCCAACCTTGGCTACTTCAACCGCCGTGGAACGAGATTGTCGAGTGTCCACGAGCAGTAGAGGCAACTCGGGGAAATTGGGGAGTGAGCTAACGGCCGGTGGTTTGGAATAATCGCCTCTTCTGAAAATCACGGCCTTGCCGCCAGCGGCTACCGTGTTATCTACCCCGCTGGGATTGCCGTGAATGCACATCTCGCCGACGAATGCCCATCGGTTGATGCGCTCGATCTGCACCTCTGCCTCGTCGGGCGGTTGGTCGGGGTGTGGTCCAGCTAGAGTACGAATCTGAAGAAGGAGTGCAGCACTGATACAGACGCATATACTGGCACTGCTGCCCAACCCCGCGCCAGTTGGGATCGTCGACCGAAGGGTATAGATCGCTCCAGGGTGCTGCGGGGAACCCAACGCGCAGAATAGATAGAGGAATGCAGTCGCAGCGCCACGCTGATGTTTCCGCTTGTCTTCGGGTAGGTCTGGGGAGATGCGCTCCACGAGAGGCAAGATCGCATCGAGAAGTTCGGGGTCAATTGAGGTGACCAGGTCGTAATAGTACTTCTTCTTCGTTGGTTGGTGAAACAAGTCCCATGGCAGCTCGTCGATGCTCCAGGTATGATTCAAGCCAATATCTCTGAAGTTCAAGGTGATAGTGCGTTGCGATTTGGTCAGGGTTGTGACAAGGAGGTAGGATCGTAGGGAGATGGCCGCAGCCATGGCGGCTTTACCGTGCACGACGGCATGCTCACCAAAGACAATGACCTTACCGGGCGCGGACACCATGAAGGCGGGCGCCATTGGAGACGAAGCCTTTCGAGCCATAGCTGGCCTATGAACACCGTTGGTGACAGATTTTGTGCTCGGCGGACTACTGCTGAAGGAGGGAGCGGTTGAGGTATCGTCGGAGGTGTCTACGCTATCGTCGCTGGCGACCGAGGATTTTGAGCGGGTGGGTAGGGATTGTTCCGAGATTAGGTGTGACATAGTAGGGCGCTGACGATTCTTGGGAGCTTTAACACTGCCGTTCTTTCGACGTCCACGGCCGTTGTGCATTACGACCTCCGAGCGCGTCAGGGGGTTGGTTAAGCAGGGAAGGAAATCAGTTGAACGGAACGGGGATGACGAGGACTAATGGATTGAGGGATATTCAGCCGAGACAGAGGACTTATTCATGCAGGAAATCCAAGCGCATGACGATGCGAGGCAGCAAACATGCAGCAAGACGAAGAATTGAAAAAGAAAAGAAAACAAAAGCAACAACAGAACAGGTGACCAAAAGTGTGTGAAAGTCACAAACAAGCGTACACTGCCTGAGGCCCGTAGTACGAGGCCTCCATTTATTTTCTGCGGGTCGACCCAATGGGGCTCATTTCCACTTTCGATATTTGCCCCTTCTTTTCTCCCCTTAAAAGGCCCTCTTCCACTTCATTTGCCAATCATATCTTGGGTAATTGTCAGTCATTTACCAAACCAGGATCCATCCCAGGTTTTTTCCTCCTCCATAGCTTTGCGAGAAATAGACCTCTTCTGGTTGTAATTCTAGTTCTGTACCACAATTGACCGGGGGGGTATCCGTATTATTACATACAGCATACACACCCCCCCCTCCCCCTATCCCTGCTCAATTGACCAAGGTCACGTCAGTTGAGATATCATAACAATGCAATTAACTATAAGTCCTTTAAGGAGGACGATGACATTCATGGAATACGGAGTAGGATCCCCGCGTACTTGTGCACCGGAGAGTGTCTAGAATCCGAGATCGATCTCAAGCTTCCGGCCCAACCTTGCCGTGGCTATTTTTAGTGGGTCTTTTTTAGAAAGGATGGCCTAAGGAAAATATGTTGCCTCTTATGGCATACGGTATATGCTGGAGCTACACAGCAATCAAGTACTACTTAGTAGTACTACCTAATATCTCTCCAAAGATTTACACTCAAAACAATTGTGATTCGCTTGTTCCGATTTCCAAGTCCCTACTAACGTCTAATAGTAAAGGACCTTATCTTTCTAAGACCCACTTACAGTTTACAAGCGATAAAGGCGCACGGGCCAAGACTGGTGTAGGAGTGCAGGTAGGTATGGGTATTTAGATTTTCTGTATGCTTAGTATTTATGAAGCTCTTGGAGAAGCACAAGCTGCGTTGCATTCGTTGGCTTTCTTTATCACTCAGGGACATGGTGAGAAGTGTACGGGGTTGCCTAGGATTTTTCTTTCGGGTGCTTGTAGGATATTATATCTAATAACTATACATTCTCTTCAAGGAAAGAGCCGCTGTAATCCCATCGGACATGATCAGCCGGAGTCGTATAGCATAGTACATGACACAGCTTGAACAACGAATCCGCCATCTACTTGTCGAGCCCTTTGATGTTCAAAAGTCATAACAATATGTATTCGATACTTATCAATATATACTCATGTTTCACAGATCTGTGCAGGCCAAAGTAGTAAGATCCCTTGCGATCATGGCATCGTTACAGGTTCATTGTCACCGTCATGCTGTTGCTATGTACCAGCAGACATGGGGGCAACCCTTGCCATAAGACTTCCAAATCACTCAGATAAGATTCACTCGCTGCCTCACCTTGTGCAGTGCCTTCCATGGGGGACGGCAGCGTTGTAAAGATGACGGCAGTTTCACTGCTATGCTCTGCCATCAACTCATTCAATATCAGGTGTTGCGCTCGGCTAGGAAGATCATTAAAGGACAAAGGCACAGACGCCCGCCGGGGGTACCCGGACGCAGTGCCAGACCCCACCGATGATGACCGACGCGTATAAATGGACTCACGCCTGTTTGAAACCCGAGGAGGGGGCGAGCTTGGTGCGAACATGATCGAGGGTCCCGTACCTTCATCGGTGTTGACTTTAGCTTCGGGAATCGGCGACGAACTGAATCGATTGCTGGACGCCGAACGACTGATAGGTGGTCGGGCTCCACTTGCTTGGCTCTTAGGAGAGGTATCAGGGGCAACTATGGATGGAACGCCGTGGTTTGCAGTATCTGGGGATGCAGGGCCCTTGTTGTTCGTACCATCCTCTCTATCGTCGATATAGGGCTCCAACTCACTGTCGCTTGAAGAACTGTCACTTGAGTCGTAGTCAACGAAGCTATCTAGTAAGCGATGCGTTTGCATGCCCAGATTCACACCACCAATCCCTTTGAAGCTGGAAATAGAACGCCGACGCCTGGTTGATTCAATGAACTTCTTTAACCCACCAGCCAATTGGGCCGGAGCCTTTTGTACAGTGTCATGACTAGAAGCACCATGCCAACTGGAAACCCTACTCAGCTCGCCCCCAGAGTCGTCCGGCTTGGGTTGGTTGGGGGATACTCTGCGAAATTTCTCAATGTCCTGCCACCAGCCTTCCTCTTTCAACGTAGTTTGCACCTTTTCCTGCATATCTCTAACCTCCGGCGACCTGTCACCATTCACAATAACGCGATAACTTTTTACCTCACCACATGCGAGCCAGAAAACCAAAACTTCCGCCTCGATTCTCAGCTTTTCAAGGAGCGCGTGAACCCGTCCTCGTTCATCATCAACGTCCGTTTCGTACTCAACGAACACGGCTACCCGTAGTTTGTACGTCTTCTTCCAGGAAGGTACGGTGTTCAGGATACATCCCAACTGGAGGATAAGGGTATATGTATCAAAATTAGTGGTAAGAACATTCTTCTTGCTTTCGCTGTCAGCCCCAAGTTCTGCAGACATTTGAATAGGCCAGAGATCGATGTATTTCTTCTGGTGCTGTCCAGACGTAGGCAGCTCAAGGTTTTCGAACCCTTTTGCCACAGCAACATTGATGCGGAGTTTGAAGAGAAGATCCTCCAATATCGTCACGTAGTTGGCGCAGCTCATTTGTGGCCGAGAAACATCATCCACTGCAGACTCAGGAGATATGCCACGTCTATCATTCGAGTCTTTTCTGGGTTGTAATGTCTCAACCAACGACTGACCATTGCGAAACTGGTCAATGACAACTATGTTTGGCCGCATTCCCCCAAGACCAGAATTTAACACGATGTTACGGATACCCCATTCTGCAGAGGGAGAAATTGCAATATTGACAAAAGCTTTCACTTTTGAATTCTCCACGAACTTCGTCCAGGTTGTTTGCTGGCGGCGAGCTTCGGGCACCGCGGAAGAGAAATCATCAGTCACAATAACGTGGCCCAGAACGAACAAGGCGCCTTTTTTCAATGAGTTGCAAAAGGAGACCATCTTGTATTGTTCATCAAGATTGGTCACAAACAGCAGAATCTGGGGCCTCCAGAATTTAACATGTTCTTGTCGAAGGCGAAGTAGATATTTGCGCACTTGATGATATATAAGGCTTTGACTCACATCGCCCCACGGCTTGGGAGGGGAAGTATAATGAATCAGCAAAAATAGTAGGATTAAGATACCGACGCAGCCTGTGGCATAGACACCATCCACAAAGAACATGGTAGCTCCACAAACTAAAGCCCCTGCTGCAGCTGTCTGCCAATTAAAGTAGTGAAAAGAAGGCCGAAAATTAGGAGCAGATCCAATCTTGAGAAGAAAACAAGCGAGGTTCATCACCAAGAATGTCATGAGATATGTCATTGTGACAAAGGATGCTATTTGGTTAATGTCAAAGAGCATTGTCAATTGGGCAACAACAAAGGTTACAATGATTGCGTGGACCGGTTCGTCGTTTTTCTTGGTGCCCTTGCTGAACATTGTCAGGCCAGGGAGCAAATTGTCTCGTGCAATTGCCTGTAAAAGCTTCGCAGAACCGATTACGCCCATCAATGCTGAGAAGAAAGTTGTCGCGAACTCTCCTAGGAGAATGACAATTCCCGATGCATTTGTCTGATACGTTTTAGTCAAATGTTCGCAGTCGAGTTTGCATCTTTAAACATACCATTTGGATGATATCGCTATTCTTGTATAGTGACTCCCTTGTTATAGAGGCAGCCATCGCAACTATTACAAGAGTATAGGTGACAAATGTCAAAGCTAGCCCCGAAAGTGTACCCCTTGGGATCGAATGACTAGGGTTCTTCAGATCTCCCGACATGCTGGCCCCACTATCACTTCATGAGCCTACGTCCATCATAAATTGATCATACACTTACGCGAATATACCGCCAGTAGCAGGAAACAATATTCCAAAGAGGTCCTGGAAGTTTTCCTTTCCGTGGATCTGGCTGCCAGCAGCACCCTTGGTGAGCCTGGGTTTAAGATTCTCCAGCAGTGTCTGAAGGCGCACGCCAGTGAATGTCACATGGAGCTTGGGAATACTAAAGGGCTTCATAAAGATCGCGGATGCCGGTATGCTAAAGGTAGCAACCAACAGAATGACGAGCAGGCCGTTGCTTGCTCTAGAAAAAATGGAACTCCCAGCTAGGCAGATCCCAGTGCAAATAAGCAAAATGATAGTACCCCAGAGATACTGCCACCAGAAGCCTTCTTCAAGGAAATTGTATAAAGTGCCAGATCTTGTTCCGAAATTTTGCGTGAAACAGTCAACAAGACCAACAGCGTTCATACCGGTATTCAAAACATAACCCAAGTAGAACACTATACCAATGGAACCGCCAAACTCTGGGCCCAGCGATCGAGAGATTAGATAGTAGGCGCCCCCTCCTTTAACAGTTCCGTTGGTTGCAATGGCAGAAAGAGACATAGTGGTCACCAAATTAATGGTGTATGAAACAGCGAGCAAGCCTTCAGACCACGTTTAGTTATCATTCGAGGCTACACAGACAGGGTGGTTCAAATTACCTAACATCCCTAGCAGACCGGCCTGCCCAAGGATAAATCCGAAGCGAAGGAACATCAGAATGCTCAGGACGTTCAAGGTGGTCGGTACAAAGACTCCCGAGAAAGTTCCGAGCTTTGCAGCACTATCAGAAACCCGATTCTTTTGGCCATCTCGTTCCTTTTGGTCCATGCTAGAGTCTCGGAGAGGCCCTGTAGGAAGGTCCACGGGTAGGTGTGATCTGTTCGAGGTACCTTGCGGACCATCATTATCGGGTTTGTCCCACCAGCGGGATATACTACCAAAGAAATTCGAGGGCAACGAGTGGCGCTGACGCTCTGTTGTATGGAAAGAGGAGTTCAATGGCTCGTACGGGCGAAGTGAAAGCGCATTTCTCCAATTGAGAAATCTGCTGTTCTCCTCGGGAGATGATGCAGTTGGGGACTCGCTTGGAGCCAATCTAGAGACATCCTCTTGAGCAGTTCGTGTTGAGAAGTTGGGCCTTCTCCGAGACATCGAGTCCGAGGTACCCTCGTCTCGGCTGTGCGTCATCGGATACGTCCAACTTCTTATCGCAAGAGTATACTCGGTACTTTCATACAATAATGCAAGTGGGGACAGAATGTCACTACAATAAACAGTGAAGTATCGATAAGGACTGGCAGAATGCACAACCCCAGCAAAGTTAAACGTGGGAGAGAACGACTAAAGCACTGTAAGAAATCGCGTGCTTCAGAAAAGAAGAGAAAACACGATACCCCATATAGTACCTCCTAGATCGAGAAGGTTTTTGTGGCAGTGGTTGCCACTAGTAGTAGTAAAAAGCAGTAAAAGCATGGGTCTATGGCTGGCCATGATCTCATCTGCCGAGCCAGACAAACAGTGCAAACCCCACCGCCGGTCCGGTCCAGTGACTCCCATTGTCATCGACTCTAGGGAAAGCTGAAGCTTCCTTCGTCTCTCTCAATTTGTTTGTGTTGCTACTAGTAGGTGGCTGGGCGAATAGTGATTTCCAAATATTTTTTTTCCTTTCTTTTCTTTTTTTTATTTTTCTTTCTCTTCGCTTGTTTACGAAGAGAACACAACATACAGTAGATTGTTTCTACTTTGTCCTGGTCTACTGTAAACCAGCTCTTTCTTAAGTTTATCCTGCAAGTACATACGGCTCGCTATAACCCTTTGCGTCTAGCAACGCTAGGTAAAGGGCGTCAATATAGCAAAGCCTTGTTTTCAAACTAAGGAAACTTTAAGCTCTTCTGTGTTGCTTCATAGTTCAATATCAAGTCATGGCTTCACCCACACATCCAGACAATGGGGAGGGTTCCTCATCTCAACCTCGTCAGTCAACACCGCTCTCGACGAGCGCATTGCGCCCTGGCTCCCCCTCGGCGGATGCTTCATCGAGGCAAATCTCGATTGCACGGCTAGCGTCTCCAGTACCTTCTCCATCTAGCTCATATCCCCATGCAACCAGACAATTGCCGGTACCGATCCAACCAGCGACAGGCACAGGTGAGGATATCCGGAAAGTGGATAATCTATCGTCTCTACCAGGCCCTGGGCAATCCATGATCGCATCTGCCCTCCAAGAAAGCCTCGGTCGCTCACCTCCAAGGCTTGGGACACCGCCAAGAAGCACTGCTTCCCCTGCCTTGCAGCAGGCTCAGCCAATCAGGTCCAACTATGGTTCATTTGACAATAAACACGGGTGGGAAGGCTCAGAATATTCAGCAGGGCCGTATGAAGATCCGGAAGTTGTCAAAAGGCATTTAGTACTACCGCAAAACACTGTCGAGAGCCGAGATGATGCTGCTTCTGGGGATGCTGCAAATGACGAGGGATTCTCCAGCTTGCAGCTTCAAGGAGGTGATATTACAAGGCAGGTTTACAGGTGGGCAGAAGGTGCAGAGGCAGGAAGTCCTTCGAGATTCAATCGGAGTAAGAGTTTCAGCATAAATCGACCCACACCACAAGATGAGACGATGAACATCAACAGCATTCGCATACCAGGAGGATTCCGCAGAGACTATATCCGGAGAACTGTAGCCTCAAACCTTCCAGGAAGCCCTGATGGCCCCGGACCACAACCTCCTCTGCCTCAACCTCAGCTCCCAACCAGCAGCTTCCTAGAATTTTTGACTCTTTTCGGCCACTTCGCGGGAGAGGAGCTAGAAGAGGATGACGAAGTGCTGGGGCCCAATGAGTACTTCTCTGACGCGTGGGAAGAGGATGGCAGGGAGCCGGGAGAAAGATCGGCCCTCCTTCGTCCTGAGACCCCTGGAAGAAGAAAACGGAAGCCGCGCGGAGGCACTGGAACCAACACTAGGACTGGGGCAGCTCTACTTCTGCTCAAGTCTTTCGTTGGTACAGGGGTCTTGTTCCTTCCAAGAGCTTTCCTTAATGGCGGTATGCTTTTCAGTAGTCTGGTATTGCTTGGTGTGTCGCTTCTCAGCTTCTATGCTTTCATACTTCTTGTCAACACCCGACTGAAAATCGATGGCTCGTTTGGTGATATTGGAGGCATCCTTTATGGAAAACACATGCGACGCATTATCCTTGGTTCTATAGTCTTGAGTCAATTGGGATTCGTGTCTGCATACATTGTGTTCACTGCTGAGAATTTGCAGGCTTTTGTCCTTGCTGTCAGCAACTGCAAGTCCTTCATTGACATCAAGTTTATGGTCTTGATACAGCTGGTCATCTTCTTACCTCTTTCGTTGATCCGAGATATTAGCAAGCTTGGCTTTACAGCTCTAATTGCAGATGTTTTCATCCTGCTTGGCCTGATCTATCTGTACTACTATGATATCCTGACTATCTCTGCACAAGGCGGTGTTTCGGATATCATATCCTTCAATCCATCCACATGGACGCTTTTCATCGGGACGGCTATTTTCACTTACGAGGGTATTGGTCTTATCATCCCAATCCAAGAGTCGATGAAGCGTCCTCAGCAATTCCCCGGCGTTCTTGCTGGGGTGATGGTCATTATCACGATCATTTTCCTCTCTGCTGGTGCGCTGAGCTATGCTGCGTACGGATCTTCAACGAAAACGGTGGTTATTCTCAACCTTCCTCAGGACGACAAGTTCGTGAATGGTGTCCAATTCCTCTATTCGCTTGCGATTCTGCTGAGCACACCCCTGCAGCTCTTCCCAGCCATCCGAATCATGGAGAATGAGCTCTTCACACGCAGCGGCAAGTATAACCCCAGAATCAAATGGCAGAAGAACTGTTTCCGTTTCTTCCTTGTCATGATTTGTGCTTTTGTTGGGTGGGGTGGAGCAGACGATCTTGACAAATTTGTCTCACTTGTCGGTAGCTTTGCCTGCGTCCCACTTATTTACGTATACCCGGTACTTAACCCCCGATTTCACTTGCTTAATGGTGACACATAACGCTAACTTAGTCTATTGTAGCCTCTGTTGCATCTGAGAGCCTGCGCGCAGTCAAGAAAACAGCAGATCGCTGACATTGCCCTTACCATCTTTGGCGTAATAAGTTGTCTCTATACGACTTCACTGACTCTAGCAAACTGGGTCGGAGGAGGAGCTCCCCAATCACCTGGATACTGCGACTCGAAGTCTGGTTAACAGAATCTCCCGTCGCTTTGAACATCTATAACGTTTGGTCGTCTCAGAGTAGGCGTCCTCTTGAACATGAATGACTGATGCTATGTTATAAGACTTGCTTTGTTTGAACAGCAAGACTGAATTTCGGGACACTATCTTGACATCTTGTCCTAGCCTTGCTTTTATCTAACGTCCTAGATGGAATTCCCCGTGGTTAAATTGGTGTACACTGTGAATACCCATCCTACTTGCCATTGCTATGTACCAAATTGTTTCAAATATACCGCACAGACAAGAATGATACGAAAGAAACAGCATGATTTTTTCCCCTTCAAATCATTGAGATTTCACCTGAAATTGTTATATACAAAACAGTAGAGACAGCAGAGGCCAAAAGACGCCCTGAACCCTCGCCATGCAAGCTGCACTATACCACAGCGCAATGCTACGAAAACATGCTAGAAACAAGACCAGTGGCCTCAAGGCCCCTTTGCCAATGCCAGTCCATAAAAATAATCAGGTGAAGGGCCAACTACCCTCTAGTCGGCCCAAGCCGCACGCAATCCATTCTTCTACCCAAAGAAAACCAGTGTTAAATGAGGCCAGCCTCTTGCATCCGATCCGATCTGTATTCCACAAATCGCCATCCATTGGCCACTTGTCTCTTATGAGGTCTAAATCTACTACTGATTGAAAACGGGCACCCTTTTTTTCTCAGCCACACGGCAGGTAAAGCAAGGTTTGGATCGTTTATGCGCCGGCCTCAGGGGCCTGCGAGCCCTTCGCAGCGGCTTCAGCGGCGAGCTTAGCTTCACGGCCTCCCCAGCTATTACATTACGTTAGCTTCGTCAGTCCCCTTCCGTCACGGGTTCTAAGTATCAGGGGCAACATACTTCCAGTAGTTGAGGTAGCGGTATCCTTGAGTACATTGGGCGGAGAAGTTAATGGCGTGACAAGCGAAGAGGAGGTAGTTCTTAGGGGAGACGGCGAGGGCGTAGCGCATGAATGTTCCCGAGTAGACAACAAGGGCGCCGGTCATCTGGCCGGAGATGCTATTGGTTGGGTTAATTATGTATTTCTTGTCATAGTCTTGCGTGATGAGGGTAATAAAGCTGCGCCGGGTAGAAGAAGGGGATGAAAAGGTGGTCGCGCGTACATTTCAGGGTCCTTTTGGGTGTCCATCACGGCAGCAACGGGGATACCGAAGTTGGAGACGGGGCCCCAGAAATCTGGTATTATAGGTTAAATTAGACATTGCTCTTTCATTTGGGAATGCTTTCAGTGACGCCATGATAAGGACCAAGGGCAACCATAGCAGGATCCCATGGATCATTATCCCTCTCTGTATTACAGAAGCAAGACTTGATACAGGCCGATCTCGGTCGAGAAGGGAAGCATGGCATGGACTGGGATTGCACTTACGTGTAGAGCAGACATAGTCCAGAACCTTGTTGGAACGGATCTTTGCGTTGATTGCCTTGATTGCAGCGGCCATCTTGACTGGAGATGGGGGTAGGGAAGGGAGTGGAGAGTGATCAGGAACAGGAAGACAGTTACTGAACTTGCGCGGCGTCACCGACTGCGGAATCATTGCCGGGCGGAGTTACCCGGACTACGTCACGTGAGTCAATTGCCGGGGTCATCAATATCAGTTCGATTACGGAGCATTGGCCTACGATTGGACGAACAAGAAAATCATGGAAATGACCGTGTATGATTCGCAGGGGGAATAAGTACTAAGCGTTTAAACCTATGTAGCATTACTTCTGTTGGTCCTCGACTTTTTTTTTTTTGGAAGGTCGACCTTTGCTATTACTCGGGCATTCCCTGCATCCGCACACGCCGCAACGCCTTTGCCTGGTAAAACTCGGTGTGCTATGCCTAATCATCGAACAGGTATATGAATAGGATGCGTATTTCTTATCCCAACACTAGTAGGCCGCCATGTTTCACTCGGGGTCGGAATATTGTAAGCGATTGTGCCGCTCGACATGCGAGCTTCACCGTCCTCCAAATCCTGGTGGAGGGAATCCACGTCCCTGGCCCGGAGGCTGGAATCCTGGAGGGGGTTGGAAACCGGCCGCTGCACAATACCAGTTAGCCTATGACGTATGACGTATGAACCCAAGTCAGTCACTTACGAGGTCCGCCCTGAGGCGCAAACCCTGGGGGAGGAGCGAAACCAGCTAAGCGAAAGTCAGTAACCTGCCTACTTCCAAAGCATATCTCAGCGCCAATAAAACTTACGAGGTCCTCCCGGAGGCGCTCCACGGCCAGCGAATCCCGGTGGCGGCGCTCCTGGGAAACCACCAGGAGGGAAACCAGGGAAGCCGCCAGGAGGAGGTGGGGGTCCTCCAACACCGGCAGCAGGGCCTCCAAGTCCGACAGGTAGACCACGTCCAGCGGGTTTGCTGATTCCAGGACCGGCGGCGAGAGTGGCTGCGGCAGCAGCAGCGCCTGGGACGCTTGTTCCAAGTCGTGCAGAGGGGTCTGCGGGAGGAGGTCCATCAACAGAGCAAGAGACGACGTGGGTACCGCGCACAATCGTAAGACCGAGGGTTCGTTTCTCTTCCGATTCCACGAGGGGAGCGTTAGCCGGGCCAGCAGCTGGCTTGGACTTCCGCTTGACGCGGCGGAATTCTTCTGTATCGGCGAGGACGAGGTTCATGTGCTAAAGTGTCACTGTTAATGAAAATGTTTAATCAAGGCAGGTAATGATTGAGAGTCAATGTACCTTATCAAATGCGAGCATTTGTCCGGTCATCTGTCGGCCATCGTTAAGGGTAACTCTCATCCGATAGTTGATCTGCAGCACATTAGACTTCAGCGGGCGGATGGTAAAAGAAGCGCATTGTGACTTACGAGGTTTTGCTATGGATTCAAACAAGTTAGCCAATACTATTCTTGAGGTACTTTAAGAAAAGGTCTGGACCGCGACAAAAGATCAATCAAATCAAACATACCATCTTGCCCTGCTTGTTGGCAGCCATTTTGCCTGAAAAATGCGCACGAATGCGGCTTGATATATGAACCAAAGAATATGCGTGAAGTAGTAGAAGAAAACTCCTACTAAACGTTCACTTTGAGCTTGCGCGCCCGTCAAGAAAGTGGAGGACTTGCTGGCACGAGCTCACCCGCTCAAACTTCCTGAAGCTCTGCGGGTGTCGTGACTTAGACGCGGCTCTGCGGTTTAGCGCCAGCCGACGGTGCCAAGACGCTAAGGGCTTCTCGCTTCCCACTCTGCCCGCACATTCCCTTTTACTCACTTTTCGATCTTCCCTCCGAATCTTCTAATCACACGAGTCGACCATACACGCCAAAGTAGTCGCCATGGTATGTTCCATTTTACCAAATCAACCACTCTAATCGCCTGAGATTTTTTTTTTCTAACGTTTTATCGCCATGCAGTCGGACGGAAAGGACAAGAGCGCGAACCCCATGCGCGAGCTGCGCATCCAGAAGCTCGTGCTTAACATCAGTGTCGGAGAGTCTGGTGACAGACTTACCCGTGCTGCTAAGGTGCTCGAGCAGCTGAGCGGTCAGACTCCTGTCTATAGTAAGGACGCCTCGATCCGAAGTTTTTTTTGATTTTACCATGGAGGATATGGAAAGCAGTACGAAATATTATGGGATGGAATGGCTGATGGGAGATTTTTTTTTCGTGATTCATAGGCAAGGCCCGCTACACTGTCCGTACCTTCGGTATCCGTCGTAACGAAAAGATCGCCGTCCACGTCACCGTCCGTGGCCCCAAGGCCGAGGAGATTCTTGAGCGTGGTCTTAAGGTCAAGGAGTACGAGCTCCGCAAGAGGAACTTCTCCGAGACCGGCAACTTCGGCTTCGGTATCAACGAGCACATCGATCTTGGTATCAAGTACGACCCTGGTATTGGTATCTACGGCATGGACTTCTACTGCTGCATGTGAGTATAACCAGGAACGGTCAGCAAAGGTCAAAAACTCACACATGGATCAGGACCCGCCCTGGTGAGCGTGTCGCTAAGCGTCGCCGCTGCAAGGCCCGTGTCGGTGCTCCTCACCGCATCAACCAGGCCGAGACCATCAAGTGGTTCAAGAACCGCTTTGACGGAATTGTCCGGTAAATGTTTCATTTCTGGTCTTTGGGGGAGCCAGGGGGTTGCGTTTATGATGAATCAATAAAAAAAGGCAGAAAAAATGCCGTTCTGCTTTGAAATACTTGTTTCTACCACGGCATGAGGATAGGCGTGTTAGGAATCCAAATTCTCAAGTTCAAAAAAAACGCATCCACTTTTCACAATGAAGGCTTCACGAAGGGTGATGTATCCGCATAACCATTGATGAAAAGATTTGCATGATGCTTGCCCCATCACACTCAGTGTGATAATGGTGGCTATTTGGCCGTTGGATCTCTTTCAGAGTCCAAGAACATGTCCTTCTACCTGTCCCCTGTGGCAGTGTGCTCCTCTGCTCTTAGGCCAACATGGATGGCACGGAGATCAGCCCGGCTCCATGCTCGCCTTGAGTATGCCGTAAATCAGCTCCTCATTGTAGACTCGTCCTGTAGTCAAGAAAGATAACAACTATGTGGGTCATGATCAAGAGCATATCGTAGATTGTGGGCCCATATCGAAGCGCCGTTAATCATATGGGATAACTAGTGTTTCTCTTGGGGTAGTCCCATATTAAATTGCGAAGTCTGTAAGTATAGCCCCGGGCTGCGTTTCATGCTGGCTACTGGACCTGTGACATGAATCCAGTCCGACGCAGCTGTCTTGTAATCAAACTAAGATGTGGTAATCAAACTTTACAAGACTATGGATTTTATGGAGCATCTCCCTGTATTGATCCACTTCAATTAACACGATATGCTTGTATACGAACGAATAAATACAAGATCAAGCACAAAACTCTTCGGCATATAGTCATATAAACGTTCAACATAATAAATATCCACCAATTAATCATTCTGCCTTGCTACATAGCATGAACTCGACATTGGCTTATTTAGAACCACGAGTATACCCATCCCACCACTTCGAAAAGAAACCGCCCTGTTGCGCCTGGTCATTGTAACTCGCCCGGCGTGCGGCCGAAGCAGGATCCGTGGAGTTCCGCTTCTGGTTCGTCAGACTTTCGAAGAGGGACGAACCCTGACTAGACCGTCTCCTGTTTGGAGCAGTTGGGGGGCTGTTAGAGCCGGAAGACATGCTAGACGAGACAGATTCCTGGATTTTAAGGACAGTCAGCCTGAGTGTCAAGACAATATGTAGCTGCGAGAGAGTTCGATGAAAGTCTGAGCAGACGTACACGTCTGTCATCTGTGGCACGTGCTGCTTCGGCAGCAGAAGGCCGTCGAGCCATGTATGGCTGGGGAGGGCCGCCTGTCACCCATACGTTGTGGTGCTCATAGCGATCACCCACGTTGCCATGCCAATGGCGAGGAGACTGAGGGTTGTTCTGCTGGTTGTTCATGTTGCTTTGTTTCAAGACTTCAGTGACTTCTTATATCAACTATGCATATATTAGTTGCTGTTCTAGTGAAATACGTGATGCGCGGTTTCTGTCAATGGACGAATGAATTGGAAGAAAGTATGTAGATGAAATAGATATCAAGTATTTCAATTATCAAGGCAAAGGATGACGAATGATGTATTAGATGCTGAGTTCCAAGAGTCCCAGACGTCATCCTTTCGGTTCAGTACCGAAAAAGGGAAGTCACTGTGTACCAACAAATGCGAGTATCAAAACACAAGGATGGAACATTTCATAAGTTCAGCAAACTTACCAGGTCGATAAGATTGATCGATAAACGGATGGAGGATGTTCAAACCAATGTATGTATCTGAAGAGGAACGAGCCACCACCGGACACGCGACCGTAATATATGGCACAATACCGGGGGGGAAATCCAGAGAGAGAGAGAGAGGGGTAAGGGAAAGGGCCACTCAAGGAATGAAACAAAGTCTGGATGAATGATACATCATCCCAGGTGTGTTCCCTATAGTGCCGGCAGGGGGCAAATACCCCCAATGATCCAATCATTATTCATGGAGGCCTCGTAACTGCCTGGGGTCTTTGGGAGCTCTAGATGAACCAAAGACGTTGATGATTCATCATTATTGGCGCGGGAACAGAGGCGTCCAGATCCGCTTAGGTCAAACGGTTCAATTAATCTGGTTGTGATCAATCAGCGTAGACTGATGTATAATTCAATGGAATCGTTGGACGATCATTGATGGCGGCTTGACGTCAGGTGAGCTTGCCAAATGCGGGGATCGCAGCAAATGAAACTTTGAATTCCCAAGGTTGAAGGCCACATAATACTCGACTGGGGTCCAATAGTTAGCTGTTATATTCGGTGGGTTAATCACGGTTAAACTGACCTTGCCATGGATTTCGCCAAGTGAACTTACTATAATGTTCAGCAAGAGACCTTGTAGTGAGCCTTTAGCAGCATCATCATCAAGGCTATATAAAGTTACTATCAGATTAGGGCTTGGGGTGATATGGGCTGATAAGATGTAGATCTTCGTACATAACGTGTGACTTGAGTTCCGCTCTCTCCAGAGATATCAGTTCGGCACTCAGTGTCGACTTTAATGATCTTCTTGCGCGGAATGATCTCGGAATTATGCGACTGATCCAATAGGACTGATATTGTGTCTATTGGTTGACGACCTCCGTGGGGAAGGCATCGCTGCCTCGGGCATTCACCGGGATCCAGATGTAGCGCCGAAGCGGAACGAGACTACCGGACGTACTCTGTAATTTCTCCCCCAAGCCCATTCTCTCTCTTTTGTTTTCTCCTCATCTATCATATCTATTCCTCCCACAGGGTGCCTTTGCCGACCCGATCGGCTCTTAACTATGAGTTGCTCTAGCCTTCTCCAACAGCCCCACCTGCTTTATCTACTCGGCTATCAAACCTGTTATCGGCGCCATGATTGGAGTCATTGCGCGGGGAGACTTTCGCCAGTTGCACGGACTCAGTAGCTATATAACACGGCAATAGCATCTAGTCAGGAGTGTTTCTTCATGTAAAACTGGTCTACCAGATATCAATTGGTTCCTTACAAGTTGTTACCCGAGTCGGGATCCGCAAGTCGACGTGTCTGAGAAATAAAACATTTGAGCCGCGCATTCCAGCAAACATCAGCCTGCCTACGCACATACACATCATGGAACCCTTGCGGAATCCTTACTTAAAATCCCTCGAACATCGGGGATTTGTACAGGGTGTTACCCTCACGGATAGAACTACCAATGCCCCCTGGTGTCATTACTTCGGAGGTCTCCGCTACGCCTTGCCTCCGACTGAACGATGGCGGAAAGCCCAGAGATTACCACCATCGTATTCCTACGGTAGCAAAGACCACCCGGGGCAATGCGCTGGAGCAACTGGCGTCTGCCCTCAGCCTAGCTTCCCGGGCCTTTCCCTCGGTGATGGTTGGAGTGAGGATTGCTTTCAATGCAATGTTTGGGTTCCCGCTGGTGAACCACCCAAGGATGGTATGTCGCCTAAGCCCCTAAGCTCCTCCTCCCAAGAGAGAAGAGAATAGAGCAAAACTAATAGTGGCTTTTTTCTACAGGATGGCCAGTCCTCGTCTTTATCCGTAAGTTCCCTTGGACGAATGCCTCATCGCAAGCTAATCAAAGTCATGTAACAGACGGTGGCTTCCTGCAATTCGGAACCCCTAATTCTTTCTCCGCCGGCGCTTTACTAGGTGAGGCAGCATTCAATGCTATCATTGTTATGCCAGCATACCGTCTGGGCGTCTTTGGCTTCCTGTACTCCTCAGAGCTCGAGAACGATGCCGCCACGGTCAGTGAGCCAGTCGGAAACCAAGGATTCTGGGACCAACGTCTAGCCCTCGAGTGGACAAGGGACAACATAGCCCTCTTCGGAGGCAATCCCTCACAAATCACCATATCGGGATATTCAGCCGGTAAGCAACCTTCCAACCTCCTCCGCAGACACAAAATAATTATATATCCTAACTCGTGGCCCGGCAAAAAGGTGCCTACTCCGTCTTCTACCAATTATCCTACGATATCCACCTTCCAGAAGAGCAATCAATCATCAAACAAGCCTGCATCTGGTCCAACAGTCCAGTAGCCCAACCCAAGGCCCCATCATCCGCCCAAACCCAATTCAACGAGCTCCTCTCCGCCTTCAACATCCCCCACACGCTTTCCTGGACCGATAAGCTCGCCCAGCTCCGCTCCGTCCCAAGCTCCAAGCTCCTCTCCACAGCAACAAGCCTCAAAATCAACCAATTCCGCCCCACAACAGACGCCCTCTTCATCCAACCCACCATCTTCCAATCCCTCGACAACGGCAACATTGGCCGCCGTATCGCCGCCCGCAACATTCGCATCATGCTCGGCGAATGCCGCGACGAAGGTGCCCTCTACGCCACCTGGTACCCGCCCCAGAACGACCACTCTTCGCTCTACAAGCGTCTCCTAGCAGATTACTCGGCTCCCCTTGTAGATACACTGATGAAACTATACTACCCAGACGGCAAATTGCCCTCCGGGTGTCGGGACTGGAACTGCGATGCGTTCGGTTGTATCTATGCTGATATGCAGGTGTATAAGATGCAGCGGGGACTCGTGCATTCTCTCGTATTGGGCGGTGCTGCCCATCTCCTGTATCGTTACCGCATTGAGTACCGACTGAAATGTGCGGATGAGACTATTCCTCCAGAATGGGGCGTCACGCATGCTACGGATCAGTATATCTGGTGGTGGGGGAATGGGTCTGTTCTCCAGGCTGATGAGAAGTCGATCATTAAGAATGCGTTTATCGATCCATTGACTAAGTTTGTTCATGGTGAATCGAATATTGGTTGGGGCACGAAGAGCCACCGGGAGATGAGGAAGCTAAAACCTGATGGATCGGTGGGGATTTGGCAGGATGGTCTCTGGGATGAGGCAATGCGAGTGTGGAAGGCCTTGAGGGCGATTGGTGAACAGGGTAATGGTCCTATTGCTAAACTTTGAATATTGAAAGTACTATCATGTTAGGTATATATATAGAGTGAGGGCTAAGGATGAGTCTGAATCTAGATCCTTACGAGGCCACACCCAATTCGAGGTAGCATGTATATACGTCGCGATTGAAATAAGATGAAATCATTAAGTCACTCAATTCAGATATGGTGGCTAAGAGACCTTTGGTTTTTCGGCCCCTGTTATCGTAAAGGAGAATCCTGAACCCGACCCAGATAAATAGCAAACAAGGGACAAACAACGCTCTAATATGAACATGAAACATCCAAATATTCATTTCATCATGCACTTTGGCGGCATGTTTTGGTAGCTCTCTCATTTTCTTTTTTTTTTTTTTCTTTTGCTTTTATTTTGCTTACGCTTTGACGATCTTGCAGACGAGATCCTGGCCGTCCACAGAATCGCCCTCCTTGACCAGCAAGCTAGAGACCTTGCCACTGTGAGGAGCAGAAATAACCATTTCCTGGATAAGTTGTTAGCATCTGTACTTGACTAAGGATAGCAAGAGTGATTCGAAATGAACTTACCATCTTCATGGCACTTAGGACGGCAAGTGGGTCACCCTTCTTAACCTCCAGACCATCGTGGACACGGATCTCAACAACCACACCGCTCATAGGAGCACCGACCTGGCTGCTGTCACCCACATCGGCCTTAGGGCGAGAAGTGTTGTCCACAGAAGCCTTGTTGTCATCAACAGCGACCTGGCGCACCTCACCGTTGACTTCATAGAAGACCTCACGCTGACCGGTCTGCTCGGAAAGAGGGCCGATGGCCAACAACTTCAGGATGAGCACCTTACCCTTCTCCAGCTCGACG